GAATTAACATTGACATGTATTCATAAACTCACACCTCATTGTCAATTTATATTGTGTGGCCAGACAACATCAAAGCGTCTATCGAGCAGGAAGGTGGAGAAGTTTGAAAAAAACATCACCAAGCGAGGATTTGTCCCTGACACCACTGCAAAGAAGGGAAGCAATTATCCTGTTGGCCCTATCTTGCTCGGGTTCTTCGTTTTTGTTGTAATTGGCTCATGTAAGATTCTTGTCATTCTTTGAATAATTAATGAATTAGAGTTTGATAAAGAAATTGGGAAATTGAAACTGACCAACAACCGATCCAACCGTAATGTGGTTCAGTTTTCAGTAAAGGTGTAATCTTTGAAATGTACCAAATGAACTGAACACGGCCAACCCCAAAAAAGAACAGAACTGAAGAATTTAAACCAAGCGAAATCATTGAGTTTGGTTTTTGGTTTGGCATTTTTCAAAACATAACTTGATCCAAACTATAACAAACCAATGAATGACAACGTGATCCGGTACCCATTTTATAGACTGTTTGGTACTCACTTCTTCTGTTCTTCATGCTTTAGATTCTTAACACTTGATTTTTGGCATTCTTACCAGCTCTTTTCCAGATCATTCGGACCGCAACAACCGGTGGCATGGCATGAGTTAATGTAATATGTAGACAATGTTGTTTTAGAGTTTTTTCCCTGTGTTAAGACTGTCGGTTCATCTGTGATCTGTAAAAGACTCACGTATTGTCGTTATACACATACATTTAATTAATCTATGTATTAATTAATAATGATAGTGTTTCTATAATATTTGTTAATTTTCGGTATAGTATATGTCAGGGCTGCTCATTTTCAAAATCATATTTTTATGCATTTGTACTTCTAGAGTCTAGACACACATAGATAGGAGTGGGAAAAGGCTCGCATCATGTATGCATCTGTTATGTTAAGAGATTTCTTTCCAACTGGTTTTGAACCCATTGTTGATAAGTCAAAACGTTGTGAACAAAGTCAATATTCAACAAACATCCATTAAACTGATTAAAGCATGCACATGCATTACAGATATGAAGAGGCTTTGCTCCGCTTAATGCAACCTTTCGCAATAAATACATACAAATAAGCACTTCATCAACTTTAATGATTAGTTACAACTTACAAGATCTTTAAGTTACAAAATTTATGATGATTAGTAACCAATTACCGTCCTTATCTTCTTGAATTAACTTACATGTCAACCAAACTTTAATATACATGCCAATTATCTTAGTTGATGAGGTACATATTTTTGTCATGTCAAATATGAACTTTTTGGATTTTGCACCGTGAATTGGATGAAGTTGATAAAGAAGTCAAATTTGCCTTTTCCCCATTTAATTTTTCTCTAAATTTATGAGGAAATTATTTTTGATTTTTTTCATATTGCAATAGATTAAATCAATTCAATAGTTTCAACTATCATTTTTAGAGACTCAATCAGCTTTATATTTTCAAATGGACTTTTAGATTTCAATATTGAAGCTATAACCAAGATAAATATCAAAATTACAAGCTAATTTCAGACACTATAAGGCAGAAATTCATTAATATATCAGTATTTATTTCACACATCCCACCCTCACTTCAATCCTTTTGTCAAACCCTCTCTACTTATTATTTTACACTTCCAGCGAGTGGTAGGGCGGAGTAAGTTTCGCTAAGAATCTTTGGAATATTGCGAATTAACACAGTAAAATTATCAACTCTAACAACACTACTAAAAAAACAAAGATTTTGGCACAGATTTGGCACGGAGTTTTGGCACGGATTTGGCAAAATTTATAGTGTATATGATACGGATTTGGCACGGTTGCGTTAAATCCATGTCAATGTCGTTTTGTCACCATCTATTGCCATGCCAAAAATAAGTTACAATCCGTGCCAAACACGACCAATCCGTGCCAAGTACGTGACTATATACGAAATAGTTAACTCGACCAATTAGTGTGGCGATGTTCCTTGAATAGAAACAATATAATCACTGGAAACTGCGATGATTCTTTATGCATAAAGTTACATAGTCAACAATGATAAATTAGTTGAGTGTTGGATTTACGACTTTCAAAAGACTTTGGGTAAGTGTCAAGAAAGATTTGACAAAAAAAGGGAAAAGAAAAAAATCTACAAAGATTAAGGAGAAAACTAAATGTAAGAAAGATAGTCAGAATGGTAATTCAGTTTCGCTTCAGTTTTATTACTAGTATTATTTTTGTTTGGTTTGAGCCCGAGTAGGAGAACCATTACCAAATAAAAAGTATACTACATTTTGAATTTGTTATTCTTAAAATAATTAAATTACATTTTATTCGGATTTTCACAATTTCAACAAAAATCGAAAGAATATTTGCAAACTCAAATGGAGTAGCACATAGTTAAGTTTCATTCGGGTTTGCAAGGCTCGATTTGGCCAAACTGAACCACAATGTCTATCTTATTTTTAGGTCTAAAATGTTGTGCTTAAAAGGTGGAGTATTTGGTAGTTGGTATTATAATTCAAAACTGCTTGTAGTGCAACATTTTTGTCTAAATTAGGTACATTTCTTTGAGATGGATACAATCTTTGTTATAGCACAAAGTTTTGTAAGTGAATATATACTTGTGTGTACAAAACAAAAATCAATTACATATACATCGATACGATTTATTATTCACACATAAGATCAAATGTCTATGGATTTAGCATGTCATGAAAGATTTTGCATGTGAAATTGAAAGTATGTGTGAAGGTGAAGACTAAGGCGTTCGAAACTGTGTGTCAAGTTTAATTTTTCGATCATGAAATTCATACTTAGCTTGTATGTGATATTGTGATGTATTCGTGATCTTCATCTTCATACTCATTCTAAAACTTAATACACATTGACTGTTTTTCCAACTATAAACATGGCATTATAGTTGTAGAATATTTCTTTCCCTAAGGAATATATAATATGCAGAATATCGTTGTAGAATATATTACTCTCTCCGTCCCAATTTGTTTTGCAAAGTCAACAATTTTTGGTCAACCAATAATAAAAGTCAACTTTCCATATGGATAATTAATTCAATTTTAATAATTAAAATTTAATTAAATATTCAAAAACTACATTAAAATCCATTCAAAGTTGTAAACTTCAAATTAAAATATAATTATAAATTGACTTCCTAATTAAGTGAACAAAATGAGACTGTTTAATTAAGAAAAGTCAAAGTTGCAACTCTTTTTGGGACGGAGGTAGTATAAATTTGCGGTAATGATGGAGTAAGTTTTATCCAACGTGTCTTACTATTTGATAATACGGAGTAAATTATTAGCTGATAAAGAACCACTCAAATGATTGTACTAATCTTGCAGTTTCGTAGATTAGGAACGAAAACTGTATTGAAACATTACTTTTTAAATCCAAGACAATAAGGCCTACTTACCGTCTAAGTTGACAATATGGATGTCATTTGGAGTCAAAAGAGAGTATATTTGGGCACGTAGAACCATAAAATGAGATCAAACATCTAAAGTATCACTAGCCGATACTGTAGAGCTAGTAAATATTAAATAAAGTGCAATGTTAAAGTTGTATATTTGGTGCCCGTTTGGTAACGGGTAACAGGTGCAACAATTGAAATGGTTAGGGCTTACTCAAATTGCAAAAGTGAAAGTGTTTAATACGGAGTAATATTTTAATCGGATTTACTAATTGAAGGTAAATTTATAGGTGGTTGCTTTTATTCTAATGGAAGGTTAGATCTGGCCTAAACTTCAGACGAGGGTGCAACTCGATCTTGCAACTCCTTTTAGTATATTCATAATATTTCTGTTATTAGGATTTCTTATAACATCATCTAGGCCACTCTTAGAATAACATCCAACCTCGATTATAGAAAATCATTATACTAACTTTTCTTAATAATTGTGTCACTTATCCTGCCCTAATGTTAGTGGAATGAAGATAGTATTACATTCGGAATATTAATTAAAATTATTTTCCCTTTTAAAATTGACTCTTCATATCTGATCACATAAATTAAAATATTCAGAACATGATTTGTTGATTAATAAATTAGATTTAACAACTTTTAACAATACTATAAAAACATTGTTCACTAATCCTACTATCATACACTGTATGTCTGTATGTCTGAGTTTTGGCAATTTCTGCATATTTTTCTCATGCAATAAGCTGGAGTTGATCAAAATTATCCTCAATTTATTTCGTGCAAGATTTAAGATTATTTCGTTTGGATTCATTTCAAACAAAAATTAAATCAAACTTAAACAGACTAGTTCAAATTAAAAAAATACGAGTAGATAATAATAATAATAAAATATACATGTAATCTGTTCGGAAACTTCTATTTCTAGCTTATTAGTTTTATCAATAAACTTTTTCATTAAACACTTGCGTAGTTTTTGTTTTCGCATGTTAATTTGTGTAATATTCAAAATAAATATGATTGGAATTACTTTTCTAGCTGAAACAAAGAAATTTACATTAGATCACAAGTTTAGCTATTTTTCATAAAAGAAATTCTTTGTTTAAATAAAAATATATTTTAAATATAATTTTCTTATAATTTAGCACATTTAACAAATGCAGCCGTTTCAATAAGAATTTCATCAAATTGATAAATTCAATCAAAAGTCAATTTCTTTGTTAGCAAATATACTCATGATATCATATTTAATCATGTTTGTTTAGACTATATCAGAATACAATATATCAAATTTAAATACTCTAGATAAGATTAAACCAGGTTGAGAAATTTTAATCCGAAGTGAGAACATTCTTAAACTAGTACTACCTCCGTCCCATTTATATTGTCCCGGAAGAGGGTGTCACGGTTATTAAGAAAAGTAGGTTTGTGTAGTTGATATTAATTGATAAAGTAAGAATAAAGTAAGAATGATTTAGAACCACACATACTTTGCCAAATATGATATGAGACAATTTAAGTGGGACTTCCCGAAAAAGTAAAATGGGACAATATAAATGGGACGGAGGGAGTATGAGCTTAAGTGGTGAAACTGGTACCATTCAAATCTAAAGAATTACACCAATCTTACGACTCGTTAAAAAGCTTTTAAATACGGGTCTACCTAAGCTTAAGTGCTTAACAACAATTCTTTCTTCTGAAAATTTAACAATGCTGATAAGCAGCTTGACCCTGGCCCACTACTAAGCTTGAATTGGACCGTTGTAAAACCATGGCAGAGGCAACAAAGCTGTGATTTCTGTGAGGAGGAAGGGGAGGCCTCCACGCGTCCCATTCAGTTTCACAACAGTCCACACAGCAAATCGCCGCTACCCCGCCCCCACCCTCGCCACCCACCACATCCCGCATCCCGACAGAATCTTCTGTCCCCATATTCACTCCATTTTTTCCTCTGTGGGCATGTAGCCTTTCTTTCCTTCTTTATCCACTTATTTAACATCAAAAAAGGTGAAGCTTTACCTTCTTCATCATTACTCCATCTGTTCTTTTAATGCGAGGTAATCTAAAAGCAACTCCTTTCTGTAGCTTTGTTCTCATCTTCAAGTCCCCATCCCATCATTATTACTTCAAACTGCTCTTTGTTCTTTCTTGTTTTGGAGCTTTTCTTTGCCGCCCACTCCTCCAAAAAGCTTGGAAACTGTTTTTCTTTCCTTTCTTTATTTTTGCCCCTGAAATGAAATCTTGGGTTTGGGTTTGGAATGATAATAAAATTCCGGGAATGCTATATATGCTCTCCTCCCACGAAAGCCCAAGAAACTGTCCCAGCAGAAATGGTCTCTCGTTTTTTAAATTTTTTTTGCCTGTTTTTACTTTGAAGACATGAACTGATACATGCATTGAAACAGGAGATTCAAATATGGAAACTGATACTCATATTTCATGTGGGATTTTGTTTTGTTTTGCTTCATTATACTCATTTCTGCTTCCTTAGGAAAGATGTGATTTTCTGGGCAAAGAAAAGAAGAACTGATACTTGAAATGGAGTGGGATTGTGAAAGCCTGGTAATGCTGAGCTCTAAAAACAATGGAAGCAGCATTGACAGTTCTTCCAGTGGTGTTTATGCTTTCCCGCGAGAAAACTCAACCCAGAAGGCAGAGAAAATGGAACGTTCTCGAAAGGGTGAGAAGGACGAGGAGAAATGCGTCAAATTATCTCATCCTATTGGATCTGTGGAGCCATTGATAGGGTTGAGGCTTGGGAGGAGAACATACTTCGAGAACAACAATGTTTCATCTTCCATCATCGTCCCTGTCTTTCCTAAGAGGGCAAAACCGTCCTCTGCTCTTTCTCAGCAGATCCTGCGCTGTCAGGTTGACGGCTGCAACCTTGATCTTTCTTCTGCTAAAAGTTATCACCAGAAGCATAGGGTTTGTGATAATCATTCCAAATGCCCCAAGGTCTTTGTAGGCGGAGCTGAGCTGAGGTTTTGCCAACAGTGTAGCAGGTATGGACATTTGATTAATTTTAGTTTAAGTAGTTGAATGGATTTTGTATGATATTATAATTTTTGGTGTTTATATAAAGATTTTTATTATTTGAATGTTCAATGAAGGTTCCATGGCTTATCTGAGTTTGATGAAATGAAACGGAGCTGCCGCCGGAGACTTTACCATCACAATGCCAGGCGGCGTAATCCACGTCAGCAGTTTAACTCCACCCGGCCATCTTCTTCCTTTTATGGTCTGATTAAGATACATTTCATTTACCTCTCATCTGTGGGTTGGAGTTTTTCCTAAGAATATTCATTTATACTGTTAATTGCTAAACTAATTAATTTTAATCTTTTATATAATTAATTTTAGACTTTTATACTGGGAGTAAGTCTTGTATGTTGTTGATGTCGTATATTATTAATTAGGGGATTGGAGTTTGCATCCCACTTTTTATGACAAAATATATGGAGAATTTCCATATATTTTCTTCACTTTTTTTCCAAATTGAAGTTTGCATCCCATTGTTCATTTTTTTCATCTCCATTTGTAATCATTGGTATCTGTGTCCCCAAAGCTATATGGAGTAAAACCTAGTAATTGGGGTGAAAAAATCAAACTTAAATGAAATGTCAAGGTGTAAACTCCAATTCCCTCTAAATTAAGTTGACCCCATAAGTTTCATGCTAATGACCCCAACATACTTGTAAACTTGTTTTGTTCACAAGCCACAACTTAAATGTCAAGAACAAAGTTATTTATCCAAATGCATTTAAATTAGTAAAAGCTATTTAGTTGACTGAAACAAGGTATGCTTTCATAAGTGAGCAAAGGTGTTCTGAATTATTTTCCATCTCTGTCCTTGATGGTACTTTTGAATTTACAGATGAGAGGCAACAAATGAATACTGTGGTCAACAAAGGCCAACTTGTCCTCTCAAAAACTGCTGTGAACTCAAGCTGGGATAGTTACAGCTCTAAGTATACCATCAGTGATGAATCAACTTTGGAGCCTGAAAAAAGTAACAGCATAGTCTCATATGTGCCAAGTGCAACCACAGCTGGAGTTAGCCATGCATGGAGTTGGCCATTCTCATCTGATGGAACCACAGCTGAGTTCTTCAATCAAGGTTTGTTGTCACTGTTCTTCGGAGTTAAGACAGCATTTCTGACTTATAATGATACATCCCCATTTATCTGTAAATATATTATTGATGTATTGAAAGCTTATTCCTTTACTTTTGATTCAGTCTTGGATTATTTTTCGAGTTAATTGAAATATAAAATCCATTTTTCATCAAGATATGCAATGGCTATCGTAATTTTTTCGTTTATGGCGATGGTAGTGTTTGTATCGAAAGTGCCTAATTGTATTTAGAGTTTTTTAGTAGAGGTTTTTTAGTAGTACTTTTTAGTGTGTTATTTTAGGTAAGTATTATAGAGAAAGTGAAAAGTAACGGTATTCACCTATGTCTTGTTTTGCTGCTTTTAGCATTAAATTCAGCAAAATGCCAATTGAAAACACTACTCCCATTTAGATTCATCATTTTAAGCAATAACACAAAAATGTTTTTTCGTACACTTCCCAACACTCCTTGCAAGTCTTGTATGCAAGATAAATGCATCTAATAGCACTTGCTTGTATCCCTAGTCTTGGGTTGCAAAAGTTCTGTTTTTTCTTTGTTCACTGTGTGAGATTATTTTTACAGTAATATATAACCTTAACACAGTGTGATTGTTGTTGACCAAATAAGGAACATTCTGCATATTGTAACTAGAAAGATTTTAGTTGCTCAACTACTTCAGTTGTCAGTTTGCTCTTACTGACCAAGCTGTAGTTAACTCTGCCAAAAAGAAGACTAAAAAGACAAGTCTTGCTCAAACAATATCACAAACATGGCTCTTTATTTTCAATGACAGATAGGCATTTATTATAATATATATTACAATACAAGATCTTAACTTATGATGTTTTTATTTATTGAACAGGAATACCTGAGCTTTGTGCTCTCTCTCTTCTGTCAGCTCCTAAATTCATTTCAAGTGGTAGCAATGTGAATCCAGACCAGAGCAGCTATCCTGAGGCAATGCTGCAGGAGATCATCCCTCATCAGCTCATAATGCCTCTTGCCTCATCAGAGTACTATTGGCAATGGCAGCAGCAGCCTTTAAACAATCTCCATGCCCATCATACCCTTGCTCCCAACTCTAACAACAACACTGATCTCTTTCCAGAAACTCAGCTCTTCAAAGCTCCTTGTGACACAGACTTTTACTTCACTGCTTTCAAATGAGATCCTAAAATTATCTTCTCCCCCTTTCCTTTTTTAACTTCATTTTTATCTCTCTTTTTCAGTAGTATGAAGTGACTGTAGTTACCGTAGACCGTAGTACTAAGAGGTGGCTGAGAATTTTGAAATTTGGGTTTTTAGTGTTTCGAAAACTGGGGATCTCCGGGAGGTTATGAGTGGATACAAAAATCCTTGCATATTGAACTTCCAAATTCAGAAGTGGCAGCTTTAAGTTCTTGAATGCTTGGTTTTTACGTATTGTTTAGGGCAACTAGCTCACAATTGTCATCTCGTAAATCGTAATAGATCCGTCAAAGTTTTCAGCAGGTTCTATTTCCTTCATTGCAGAAAAAGCACCAGTGTTGTAATATTTACTTCACTGGTTTTAATAGTGTTTATTAAGGTAACTGTTACATCGCAAGCTCGTCCTGAAAGTGTAGTGCATTAAAAAATGATAGTTCCCTCGATATAATCATAATACCTAACTAATACTACACACATATTACGGGCCTTAGACTTAGGGGTGGACCGATTCCGGTTCGGGCCTGGGCCCGGCCGGGCCTCGGTTCAGAAAAAGGAGGCCCGAGCCCGAACCGGTGGTGGGCGGTTCCGGTTCCGGTTCCGGGCCAGAACCGGGCCGGGCCACCCAGAATGTTTATTTTTTTTCTTCTTCTTCTCTTATTTAACCCCCTACCCCTCCCCCTCCACCCCAAACCACCCCAAATGGCCCAAAATACCTAATCCAACCCAAAACTTAAAAAAATTTCAAAAAAAAAAAAATTAAATTCCGGCCCGAACCAGGCCCGGCCCGGCCGGGCCGGTTCACTAAACTGGAGGCCCGGACCGGTATACCACCGGGCCGGGAGGCCCGAACCGGAACCGAACCGGTTCACCGGGCCGGTCCGGGCCCGCACAGTAGCGGGCCGGTCCGGGCCCGCACAGTAGCGGGCCGGTCCGGTTCCGGGCCGGTTGGCCCGGCCCGAGTCCATCCCTACTTAGACTATCCGCAACCTTACCCCGTCAATAAATCAAATTCCCAACTAATTTGTACCAAATTGATGTATTCACTACGTCAATCCAATTTGTTCTTGCAATCCAACACCATCAATATATTCACCCACCAATTTTTTTTAAAGAAATTATATAGGCAATATTGGTGTCATATGAAAGGTAATAAAAAATTATGAATTTTAATATATTTTTTGTAAAAATACAAATACAAATAAAAAATTTATATGAGTTTAAATAAAATAAAGATTTTTTAACATGGGAGACATCTCCTACTTTTTGTTCATTGGCCTTTTCCCCTACTTTTTGCTTTTTCTTATCTCTCTTGGGAGTGAAAAGTGGGTTGATTAATTCCCACCCTAAGTTCTATCCTTTCACTTTCCCACTTTCCTATACCATGGATTGTACAAGAAATTGGGGTGAAAACATTAAATATATTCTTTTCACTCCAAGATTGTAACTAGTCTTACAGAACCAGTGTAAATTGGTTGCCAATCTGAAGTCGTTGACATTGTTTTTTGCGACGACCATCCTTGGATAAGATTCAGAGGTGGGATATGGAGGCGAGGCGGATAGTGGGAGCAACATGTGATGGTTGGTGACTACGAATGCGGTTCAACTGGTGGCAGGGGTGGACCGGTTCCGGGCCCGGTTCGGGTCTTGAACCGGCCGGGCCTCGGTTCAAGGTAGGGGAGGCCCGGAACCGGCCTGGGTAACCCCGGGTCCGGTTCAGGCCGGGCCCGGTTCGGTTCTATATAATTTTATTTTTTTGGGTTTTCCTAATCAACCCCCTACCCTCCCCCTCAAATGGCCCAAAATACCCAATCCAACCCAAAAACTTAAAAAAAATTCAAAAAAAAAAAATAAATCCGGCCCGGACCGGGCCTGAACCGGCCGAGCTGGTTCACCAAAATGAAGGCCCAAGCCCGAAACCGGTAGCCACCGGGCCGGGTCGACCCGAACCGCCCATGGCCCGGGCCGCCGGGCCGGGCAGGTTCAAACAGTGACCGGGCCGGCCCGATTCCGGTTCGGGCCGCCCGGCCCGAGTCCAACCCTAACTGGTGGCTGTGGAGAAGGTTTGGCTCATTGACTTATACAGCTAGCTAGATGCCACTAAGGATGTTTTCTTTTGGACTGAAATTTTCTGGTCTGGTTTGGTAAATGTCTGGTCCCTATGTATTTTATAACTACGAATGTCTAGTCTAGTCTGATCTGGTCTGGGACTGAAAAACAGTCCAAAAGAAAACATCCTAAGTCAGTAACCTCATCAACTGTTGCTACCACCATAAGCTTCCGACATTGCCTAGAGTCACCGGCTCAACGCCATCACAGGATTCACGGACAACCAATGACCTCATTTGCTTTCACTAGCAACAACTATAATGCAATTCAGAGTCCCGATCCTGTCAGGCTGGCCTGACGGAAACCGCCGTCAGGACGAGGCCATCAGAGGCCCTTCCCAGTGGAATTTTTTGATGAAATTTTTTGAGCATGTTCCTCATCCCGTCTAGTTTATGCATACCAAATTTCAGCTAAAAATTCAATCGGGAAGGCAGTCAAAAAAATTCCCTACAAAAACTGCGCAGTTTATATATAAATAATGCACAGTTTTAGTAGGGAATTTTTTTGACTGCCTTCCCGATTGAATTTTTAGCTGAAATTTGGTATGGATAAACTAGACTTGATGATGAACATGCTAAAAAAATTCATCAAAAAATTCCACTGGGAAGGTCCCCAAATGGCCTCGGCCTGACGGCGGTTCCCGTCAGGCCGGCCTGATACAATCTGTCCTCATGCAAGTCAATGGAAAATATATCGCTTTCATTCCATACCACTAACGCTCTTCAGGGGAAAATATGTCATTGATTATTTAGAATGTCATTCAATCCATTCTGCCATATAGACATTGGCATCCCTGCCTTATTGAGAAAGAGTCCCACCACAGAAGTGTGCAGAGGGGAAAACTCTTTCTAGTCATTTTGATAAAGGCTGTTCCCAAGACTTGCGATCTCTCTTGGTCATACGGATTAAAAAGTGATTTAACACATTGTTGGTTTATACAACATGTCAAGTTTTGGGATCAATGTAATGTAATTCTTAGTTGGGATTATTGTCACTATTTCTTTAAATCATTTTAAGATATTTACTCAAACTCGTCTCATATAATTATATCTATCATTATAAAGACTGATAAATCTAATTGATCTAAATTTTATAAAGTTGTAATCAAGTTGGTTTTTCTTCTGTATCTTCGAATAAAAAATCAAACATGGCTTATTAAATTGGCAAAAATAACATGCAAAACTATATTCACAAGCTATCATTCCCTTTCCATTCAAACCTCTCACCATACAAAATAAAGAGGCTACAAAAATCTTTCAAAGTTTATGTATGCTCCCATGCCTCCCAGTGAAAAAATAAGGAGGTGCAAGTAAACCATTAAAATGCTAGAAAATGAAGCCATGATTGCTAGTGGACATGAATTGAGATAGCGTCAAGCAGAATGAACACAATGTTTTCGATGTTTCAATTGCAGGTTATCAAATAAAACACATGATGGTTCCAAAATCCAAATGCAGCATCATAATGAGTAGAATCACAAGGTGTAGTATATCTTTAATCATACACAGTACGGAACTTATTCACTTCTAATTCTAGCTCTCGAGCCAAGTGTTCACGCTTCATGCCCTGAAAAGCCCATTTAATCAAGCTGGCTAGCATCTATTTGTCTTCCTACATACATGCAAAAATAATATCACCTGCTGAATATCAAACTTTCAGAAAAGTGTGAACATTAACATTACTCAGCAGTAAAATAAGATAACTAGCGAGAAGGGTTATTTAACTGTTTACCCTGTAGTCATTGTAAAACCAAAGCACCAAAATTTAACAATATCTCAAACCCTGCCGTAAATATTCACAGCAAAAAAATGACCCTCCAGTTTCTCTAGGGACCCAGCGCTTGACTCACAAAGTTTCAGTTGGATTGGTTCATTACAATCTTCCTAATAATCAAACAACCAACCGGAACTGAACCTCTAATGATGCTATTAGGGACTCCTGCTTTCAAACAAATAAGACAACTCTAATGCTATACATATGTTGGTTGGTAGATTTCAAGTAATAGAACCTAAAAAGATTATTTCTTTAAACTAGTTTAGTACGACGGGGTCAACATATTCGTTGTTTTGAATTTGTAGATTAAATTTGGGACAGTTTGGTAAAGTTTATTTGACTTAAATGGCTGAATCTACTCAGTTTCTGAAAGGAAAAGTGTTTGATAACAATCACCTATCACCTCAGCCAATAGAAGTTGAAAAGCGACTAATTCTACTACTTCTGCTCATTAATAAGCTAGAACTGGATAACGAACTGTGTCTAAGAGACCACAGCTCCCCAGAAGCAGCAGCCCATAGTTTCTTGACACTGAGAACTGTAATCACATCAGCTATACCCTAAGCCATATCACATTGTGCAGAAAACCATTCCCATGGAGAAGATAAGAAACACAAATTCATAAATATTGTCACTGATTTATACCAGCGAGACACCATAAATGCGTTCTTAAACGTCAGTAGAAATTCAAAAACTCACATAATCACTTGGAGGTGGATGTAGAAGAGGAATGTGAAGGGGAGGTGTTGGGGACATTCTGAAGCAGGTCGTCGTAGGGATCCCGGCGACCTTGAGCTTGACTAATCTTAGCATCCGAAAAGATCTGAGCATTGTGGCGTTCAAAGGTCCAGAAACCGTACGGACGAAGAGGAAGGCTCCACATCTCCTTCGTCTTCTTGCACCTGTCCTTCACTGCGTAGAGACGTTCACGGAAGTGCCGATCCCTCTCCACCGGATCCTCCATCAATCTCAGAATCAAATCCTCGGCGAATTCCATAATAAACTTCATTTTCTTCTGCAAATTTTAAATCCTGATAGTAATTCAAATGCAGTAAAGCCCTAAGAATTGAAATCGAAAAACTCCAAGTTGATTAAAATAATCGGAAAAGGTAAGGTATTTACCGATTATTACAAAGTTCAGAAAATATAAGCTAAGAAGAAATCTCTACCTTGCCTTCTTGGCTTCTCCGATAACGATTGCGACTGTTATTGATTAGTGCAGAGCTCAGGTAATCGCAGGCTATCAGAAACGCCGATGGTTGAGTAGTCGGGCTGGGCTTTAGAGTTACCAACAATTGGGTTTTCAGGAAATCTGTTCCAGGTCCACCAGGCTACTGACATCTTTATTGTAATTGACATGGTTAAAGAATGGACATGGACTCGCTTGTTGAAAAACGACATGAGGAACATACAAATTTTGATGAATTGTGACAAGTGTATTGCACATTTGCACTATGCCACTAAAACAGTGAAATTTCTTCAAAGGAATGTAAGTAACTATAAATAGTATTCTTTAAAGAAAAGGAAAAATGAAGATCTCAACTATTAGCTAGTGATCTGCTTGAAATAATCTAAAGTATCCATTATCTCAAAATAATCCCAACTATTGAAAAATCTTCTCAAAATAACCCGGTGACTTATAATTATCCATAAATAACTCATAATATTTATGAGTAAGTAGAGTATTTTGAGAAGATTTTTCAATAGTTGAGATTATTTTGAGATAATTGATACTTTGGATTATTTCAAGCAGCACACTAATAGTTGGGATTATTCTTGTCCATTATTCCTAAAGAAAATTGGTAAAATCAAAGGCCTCAACAACAAAACAAAATATTGAATTTATATATTGATAGAGTATATTGACTCTGATCCTCCAGTATGCCAACTATTGGTTAGGACAACGACTCACATACACTCAGCTAATACATTTATATTATTATACAGTTTACACCCATTTGTATCCACTAGATTAACATTTACGTAGTTGAGATAGGCCCATATTGATTGTCCGACCTGCTATTTGTCTATGTACACTCCTTATGGGAGGCATTGTAAACCCTAATCAATATTCACACATTCAATACAACACGTTCTTCACATGTCTCTTGTCTCAATCTCTTCTAAATTATACAATATGTTCTGATATAGGCATAGCTTGTGATGAATGATACGGATACTAGGAGAAAATGGCAATAAAGACGATGAACACAAGTATCCTTAAAAATAGGGGAAGATGGTACATAGGAGTAATAGAAAGGGAAGTTAGTGTTGTTATGAGTTATAACTAGTAACTAAGGTCATCTTTTGAGAGGTCAAATAATGCCTCTAAAGACAAATTTTGCATTGTGTCAAGGAATTACAACAGTTTGAAGCAATACCAAAAGTCTAGTATCATTTTTTATGCTCTTTGATGGTTTGATAAACAGTAGTTAAGAATTCAAGCATCTCAGAAAACGAATAAAACATTGATAGTACATGTATAATTGTTTACACATACAAATTAGTTTTAGTGTTTATGTGATAGCTTGTTAATCTATTAATGTGTTCTGTGAGTTAACATATTTTTTAAGTGAAATGCTTATCTGAGTTTTTTCTCGGAGTTTGTTGAATAGGTCAATTTTAGTTACCGAGTGTGTCCTTTTTTATGAGACAGAGAATGTGAGTTTTTCCTTATCAATAGAACATATTTAAGATAATTTTTCCATAACTTAAAAGATTGGCTAAAGGGTCAAATAGGCCCTTGAACTGACTTAAAGTGTTCAATTAGCCCCTTATATAAGAGGTTCTGTCCGGCCGTCGCTAATTGGGGCGGTTCCCGGTGGAATTTTTTGATGAACTTTTTTGAGCATCTTCTTCATTAAGTCTAGTTTACACATACCAAATTTCAGCTAAAAAATCAATCGGGAAGGCAGTCAAATGATTTTCCGAAATGTACTGCGCTGTTTAACTGCGCTGTTTTCCGAAATGATTTGCCTTGCCAGTTGAATCAATTGATTTAATTTCTTCAAATGGGTACAATTTGTCTTGCTGCTAATTTGAAAGTGATAACCACCCTCCTGCTTCAGAAGTTACTGACGAAAACACTAGATGAGATTTCTTCATCCCTGTGAAGCTGTAATTCCATGTAATGGTTAATAAGCTAAACCAGGTTGGAAGTTGTTGTTTGGCAGAGCACGACGGCTTATGGCTGCAGCTCGCTGGACCATCCATTCTCTAAGAAGGTATACATTCTATAACTATGCATTCCACATATGCACCTGCAAATCTAATTAGCCTTGGCTGCATTGGCTAATTGTAGTGTTTATCTTGCTCGTGTGACCGGCTCATGGAGGAATATATCTTCAAAACCTTTACAGGCTACAGATATGGCGGCGTCCAGGATGCGCCGCCGCGACACTGGCCACGAGCTTAGGAGCTTGATTTTCAATAGCGCATGCTCACGGCGGAGTGCCACCGTCGTACTGCAGAATTGGGTGAACGAAGGCCACAGAATCTCGGCTTTTCAGCTTCGGCGTGTCTATAGGCAGCTAATCAAACGCCGTCGTTTTGGAGCAGCTCTAGAGGTTTCACCCCTTTTTTCCCGTTTCAAGTTTTAGAGTGGAAGTTTGATTTATGGCTTAGAGCATCTCCAATGCAAAAACGTTAATGGTGCATATGTGGCATGAAAAGCAACCAATTAAAAAACAATAAATACAATGTATCTCTCCTTATTTGAAGGATCTTACATCATTTTGGTAAGTTTTTCTTCACAATGTCAAGCACAATGTCTAGATGTAGACATTGTGATTGACATTGCAGACAAAAACTTACCATAAACACATAAGACCGTGGAAAGAAGGAGAGAGATATTGTATTTATTGTTTTTTAATTGGTTATTTCTCATGCCACGTATGCACCGTTAACGTTTTAGCATTGGAGATGCTCTTAGTGTTTATGTTTATTTGAAAAATTGTTTCCAAATCTGAAGAATTTGATTAGGGCTTTATCTAGGAAAATTACCCTAAATATGATTAGGGCTATATTTCAACTATCATGTTTTTATTTCTTAAAGGAGTAATTACTGTCATAGTACAGTATTTTCCAAACATTTTTACTCTTGGAATTTTCAAACATTTGTACTCATATTTCGTGATTTTTCTCCTTTATCTATTATGTACATAATAAACACTCAATGTGCTTACTTTCTGATTTGACCAGATTCTCGTTTGGATGGAATCTCAGGATAGCGCTTTCATGTCTCCTTCTGATTACGCAAACAGGTCAGAATTGACCATTAAAATGTACGGTTCAAAAGCTACGGAAGAGTATTTTGGAAATCTGCACACTTCCATTTCAAAGAAAGCTTCTTGTCTTCCTCTTCTCCATTGTTATGTTAAAGAAAGATGCACTGAGAAGGCAGAAGCACTAATGGCAAAGATGAACAGCATGGGGTTTGCTGTCACTACTCAGCCCTTTAATGAGATGATGAAACTCTATATGGCCACATCCCAGTACACTAAAGTCCTATCTGTCATCCTCCAAATGAAGCAAAACCGTATACCCCTAAACGTTCTCTCCTATAACCTATGGATGAGTGCTTGTGGAAATACGAGTGGCATTTCATCCGCCGAGAGTGTGTACAAAGAAATGATCGATGATCCGAATGTTGACATAGGGTGGACCTCTTTGTGCACATTAGCTGAAATTTACCTAAAATCCGGACTGACCCGCAAGGCTATTTTGGTGCTCGCGCTTGCAGAAAAGAAATTATCTACCTGTAACCGCCTTGCTTATTTCTTTATAATTACGCTTTATACTTCCTTAAACAACAAGGAAGGGGTGCTCAGGCTTTGGGAAGCTTCTAAGGGTGTGGAAGGAAGAATGACTTGTGCCAATTACATGTGCATGATTTCATCTTTGGTGAAGCTAGGCGAGATCAAGGAGGCCGAGAGTGTTTTTCGAGAATGGGAGTGTCAATGTAGGACATATGATGTTAGGGTCCCCAACATTCTTCTCGGTGCATATATGAGGAATGGGTTGGCAAAAAAGGCTCATTTACTATGTCTTCACATATTAGAGAGAGGCGGGATTCCAAATTATAAGACCTGGGAAATACTTATGGAGGGTTGGGTTAGAAGCCGGGATTTGTCAAAAGACTAGTTTTACGTTCACTTGCAATTTCCTTTTCACAAGATTGAAACTTTTGAAGATGAGCCACACATGATTACCCAAACATGTACATTAAGAGCCTAGCATAGTTGGTGTATCCATAAGGCTTTTGCAAGGCTGCAAGTTAGAACATGAGTTTTTCACATAGATATTTTTATTCCTTTTTGTGGGGAAGGGCATGACCACATGGACGGCAAGAATCTCAATTCATTGTTATCTCATGATGTTTTGTATGTTGGCAAAACGTGTAATTAGAGGAAAAGAACATGTGGTATACTCTTCATTATACTTATTTAAATTAACTTGCGTGATAATTGACTTTAGATAAGTGATGACTCTAAATTTCATGTCCACTAACTCCAGCATAATTAAGATTAATCTGGTTGTGGTGATAATTTTTCTAAATGAATGGTTTATAAAAGGTAGACATCATCTATGGGAGGGAAACTAGGTCAGTAAGCAGTTATTGTGTTTTTGCAATTTCATCCGTCAACCAGATATCACAGGGTAAATATTTTTAGGATTTTCCCCTTCTTAATCTTCAACACTTCATTTTAGTTATTCTTTATTTCTTTTACGTTGTACATCTTTAGAAAAAGTGTCGAAAGGGTGAAACCAAAATAGGATTGGAACTTGCCAGTTTTGTTCCTTAGAATAGGCTAACTGGCTAAAAAAACGGACGAGACCGATAACTTTTCGCAGATCGATTCTGGTTCTATCCCAAAACTATGTCCAGCCTTACATCCACTATGCGACATTGTTGTACTAAAATGATACTCTCTAACTCATTGTTATAGCCAGGACATCTACTTTTGGAGCAAAAAGCCCTTGGTTAGAACTGAAAATATACATCACTTCTTTTCTTGTTCCACACTTCCACAGTTCATGTCTGAATAATAACATGTCCTTCCATTGCAAATGTGTAACCAGAATATGTATTGAGGTTACCACACTCAAATGTGCAAAGTGTTTTACACTTTTACACGTATATATCTGCTATTGACCCACTATAAGAGTTTTAGAGCTGCACATTCAGACAAACTATAACGTTACAAGAAACAGGACAACTCCTATCGTCGTGATAGCTTCGTCAACAAGTAGATCACAAAGAAACAAAGCAGTGCAAAGAGAACAACGTGTGTCACGTGGTACGATCCTTCCTGGATGATACTCCTATTAAGCCTTCTCATATTGTTTTTCACCCCGGCTTGAGCTTTGATCAATGTCATTTGCTGTGGGAGGAAAAAGTATGGATATGCATAAATAGTGAAACTATGTAACCAGTAAAAGCATTTTTCTAGTAGTCTCACAGTGTAACAAAGTACGAGCTTATGCATTTCATTTTTCATAAGCATAGCTTAATTAACATTTTCCATCATTTGCAATTGAGCCAAAGATTCACTATTTTTTGGCTTGGGAATTGGACAAGAAGATGATGAATTACCTACATTTTACTTCATACTATATTAGGAGTTGATATCTTAAGGCTTACGCTCTCCAGAGGTTTGATATTGATGCTTCGATTTCTCCTAATGTGTGGTAAAGTACTTTTTTGCAAGAAAGTAATTAAATAAATAAATAACATAGTTTTGAACTATCTTATACCCAGTATATTGAAAGACACACAAAAAAATGTTAGGAATCATGAAGGATGAAACTGAGATTCAGGGTACCCAGATTTACCCCGCGATACAAAGATATTTCAAGATGAAGTTAATTGATTTAATGTGAAAATTGTAGACCAGGATGAGTTTATTAAAGAGAGAATGCCACTGAAAACTGATAGATCAGGAAAAAATATAATTCTCAAAACATACCAGCTGGCTAATAAAGTCATTCTGGAATTTAGCTTCTGATTCAATCTCCTGAGCAACCTGCAATATCACACGTTCACACATGACTAAAAAACTGCAAAGAGAATCTAAAAGAGCTGAGAGGAACTAAATGCGAAGGATGTTTTTACTTGGACTGCTTTCAATCTCAGACTAGGTTTAAACATACTAGACCAAACATAGACCAGATCACCAGACATCTTCCAGACTAGACTAGACCAGTTCAGATCAGATCAAACCAAACCCAAACAGATCAGACCAGATCAGAATATGAAGTTTTAGTCCAATTAAAAACATCCTAAGTTTGTAGCTTCAAGAGAAGAAAGTAGTTTTCCATGCAAAGTGATTTTCATACAACCAATAGAAGATATCTCGATGTCGTGCACCAAACACACATTTTCCACTTCTTTAGTAACTAAAGTAAAGTAAATATATCGAAAACTGTTGGCCAAAAACATAATTTTAGGAACTTTATCCGACTAATGTAAAATACAAAATTAAAAACAAAACATCCATATAGGAGCTTCCCACCTATCTTTAAAATAACAGAACTCAAACATCCATCTATTGTCAGTTAAGAACTGTAGAATTTGTGCCGATCTATGCAACTCATACCGAGCATCAAACAAAAACACAGAATTGAACGCAGATAGCAGATATGAATTAATATCCGCATTGGAATAGTTGGCGTGTTCCAAAATTGAGATTGAAATGAACATCCAGAATATTATATTGCTTTTGAAAGTATAAGTTACATGATTACTTTATGTTCCTAGTAGTTTAGGGACAATTGAGATGAAAGGATATCATGCATTACCTAATTTAGTGTGAAAACCACTAGATTGTTGTTCTACATCAAAAATGCATTTCACTTTCTCTCGGTGCACTCTCATACTGAATCATCCACCTCTAATCCAGCAAGTGGTGAATATTTAGTTCTTTACTACTCCCTCCATCCCGCTAAGATTGTCTCAATTTATCTTTTCGGGACGTCCCACTAAGATTGTCCCAATTTATCTTTTCGGGACGTCCCATTAAGATTGTCCCATACCAAATTTGGTAAAGTTTGTGTGGCTCTAAATCATTCTTACTTTATCCTTACTTTATCAATTTAATACCAACCACACAAATCCACTTTTCTTAATAACTGTGTCACTTTCTCTTGTCCCAATCTTAGTGGGACGGAGGTAGTACATGATTGGACACTATTTTGTAAGTTCATAAATTCTAGCAATTAATCAAGTACCAAAATTCAAAACAGGGAATACATTCCCGTCAACTTGTCAAGTTGAATGCTTAACCAAAATATTCAGAAGAACAAACAAAACATAATAATAATAATCTGACCATCGGAAATTTTTAATTTATAAATAAAAAAACTAAAAAACTTTATTGCTATTTATATCATCAAACATGAGTGAATAACGTCTAATTAAACAAACAGCTTGATCCCCATACAGTTTACTTCTAGTGCATAAAAATGAATGCCTTGACTAACTAGGCCAACAATTAGTTTCAATGGCAGCATTCTAACCAGATAATGAAAAATGAATGCTTTCACCATTTCTATCAAGCCACCATTTAAGGCACGTCAAGGAACAACACTATTCTCAACTAGCTGCATGGAGAAAAAACTGATGCGACAAGATATTTTTTAAAGATTATGGTTCAAAAGGCTACCCTTTGATATTTTGATTAACAAAAACTTAACATCTAAAGACCTGATTTAATCTGACATCCAGTTTAAGCTTGCAATGCCGATTTGATAGCCGGGCCGATTCTCATTAACACATTAAGAGAGAGGAAACAAGATTCTGTAGTGGCATAGTGCAATATAAGTTAAAACGGGGCCTGAGAACTTCAAAATGCTAACATATGACACGTCCTTAAATAATTACAACATTAATAATTTGAGGGCACATCAATCTTAAAATTCATTTCAGTTCACATAACAGTAAAAATGCACTATGAAAACATAAGGCAGAAAAGAACTGTCAAAGTTAAAATTTACAAATGACAAAAGGAAAAATAATTACATTTTTAAGCTGTTTCACTTGTTTTCGAAGACCAGTGATCTCATCATCCAAATCTACATGCACTGGATCAATACGCAGCTGTATTTCATCCGAACCTCCTACCTGTCTTGTGCTTAATCCTTCTCTAACGTATTGAACAGAAAATATACAAGAATTAATTTGCATTTATTTCAAAGTTAAGAGATTCTACATGCAATTCATGTTTCAAAAATTCCACTTTCACTCTGAATTTCACTGTCAATTTTAAAGTGCACATAGAAAAGCAATTATCTTAAGAAGATAGTAAAAATGTCCAGCCATCCAGCTTACCTTGATCGGTAAGGTGCAGCACCGTAGTAACCACTGCCTTTGTGAGAACCCGATGCCATTGAAGCAATTCACGAGAATCAAGAATGATGGAAAAAATCGTTACAGAAATATGTCTTTGCTATCTTGAAGCCTGTCTGGATTAGTCACATTGTTAGCATAGATCTTAAAACTCATTTATTCCTGTCACTAAGACCATAGTAAGAGAAATAAAAAGAAATGTGCTATTGCAAAAATTACAACAAAGAATTAAAAAACAAGAATTTCAAATTCTTGTTCCAAAACTTTCAAAGATTTCCTTAGCAGGGGTACATTACAGAAAGTTTTCTCTACTTTTAGGCATAGAGGTAAGACACCTACAAATGGGACATACTCACAATCTTGGTATCTTTGGTTTGATTTGGTTATGTCGTCATATATTTAAGAAAGTAATAATGGCAATCTACTATGTTAACATGAACTGCTGACTGCTGTTTCTAAGTGGTAGACATTTGTCCAGAACTAAACATGGAAATGCCACACACTATTTTAGAGCTTTCAGGTTTCAAAATGAAATCAAGTTTCACATTTTGTAAATTCTTTCTTAACAAAGAAACAAAAGCACAATAAACTTGTATGTTATTACTTGTTACATTTCCACATCATGAATCATTACGTGGGAGATATACACTCTTGAAGTCCTTGGAATTGAAAGAGTGAAAGTATTCTATTTTTAATAGCAACCCCTCAAAGTAATGTATAAGCATGAAAGACGATGAATAGAAACAAATCAAACAATGTAATAATAGAGACATAAAGATACTTCATCAATGAATTCAAACTGTGAGATGCTAGGAAATATCAAGAGCAAAAAACTAATTTCTTAAACGTTTCATTGAATACACTAGTTTAACTCAGACTCATAGTGTAGTCAATCGATCAAAATGTTGTTTTGTAGGTTTCCTACGTACATTAGCTAAATAGTAAGTAAAGTTTGTTGTGTATTCTACCTTACATTAATATGCTGTATTTGGTGTCATTACTTCGAGAAGCAGAGTGTCTATATATGCAAATATGTACTTATACATAGTACATACATACATATTAATACTAAATCCTATTAGAGGTGCTATACTATTTTGTGAAGCTTAACTGAAAACAATGTATTTATCACAGACAAAAGTATAAACAGTACTGAATTCAGATGAAACATACAAAAAAGTTGACTCAAAACATTTGACATAGAAAGCTCAGGGTTGAGCACCTTCCAGTAATGTTGTTAAGATCACATGTTGACTCGTAAGGTCGGACGATTTTACAAGGAGAAGGTGGAATGGCGATCTGGATAGTACATTTGGAAATAAAGACAAGAGCGCCGGATTGACGATCTAGATCGTAATATCGCAAAGACGTCGATCTGTGTTATTGCGTCAATTAACAACCGTAGACAAAAACTACGCTCAGAGTCAGAAACGACGTGAACTAAAAAATATGTTACGATGCTCCAACCACCACCTGCTTACCTGAGAGTGGACCAGACGCTTAAGGAAGCAAACCTGCTTCTTCTTCTCCTTCTCCGAAACACAGCTGATTCCCTGAAAATCAGCCTTCTGCTCTTCATCCCTATAGTCCCAGGGAGTTCTATTCTCAGCTAGTCTGCTATTTTAACTATAGACACTGTGATATGTTCTCACTTCTCAATGTCAGCATCGCTACTGCTTAGGGGTGAGAAGCACTAAAGATATTGGAATCTAATCCGACAATCTCATAAATGGGTGAAAACTTGTTAATGAGTTTTACTTTCACATTAATTCTTCGTATAGCGAATTTATTTTAAGGAATAACTAAAAACTATAAAGAACCAAAAAAATTGATATAGTCTTGACAACCGCCAAATAAACAAGCTTACCACCCAAGTTCAGCTAATAAATCAACTGATCAAGTAATTCAACAAAACTCGTGTAACATGTAATAATCAGATATGATAATCCATTATGGTCCATAATCATATTTACAATCTACCAGACTTCTTCCTTTGTTTTAGTTCAACTAACATGTAAGGTGAGGGTGAACGTACATGTTAGAAGCTGAAGAGAAAATACTCAAATAGGTGTGACACCTTGATAAATTCTTCTAGTAAGTTCTTTTTCAAACATTTTGATTAACAGTATCAAATGCAAATCAGAAAGTTCTAAGTTTATAACATATCCCAACAAAACAATAATAATCTGAAGTCTGCTGGGAGCTACAAGCAGAGACTAAAACTAGTAATCCTATCCTGTTGTTTTGCTGCAATATTTTTGAAGTATAAACTTTAAGGAAAATCAGAGACACTGCTTTCCGTATTAATGCTTTCACTGGAGAATAAAATCACAGCCCAAAATTTGAATATAGAACCCTAATCCAGATACCAAATAAACCAATCCTGCAATCTGCCCAAAACACTCCATATTGTGCTCAATTAATGCTAACTAGAAATAATAATCATTAAAGATAACGATTGGGAGAATAAGCCAAATCCAACCTCTAGCTATTTCGAAATTCTTAAAGCAAATTGTAAAAATTCAAAGCAGGGAAGGGATGTAAATTTAACTTACCGGGTTGAGCCGGTGATCCAAGAGAGATGGAAATTGAAAGCAGATGAGATCTTAGAGAAGCGAAGATGGGACGGAACGAACTGATACGATGGAAACGTACGGACCTGAGATTCTGTTAAGAGGATGCCATATACGACCGTACTTTGAGATTCTTGGAATTGTTTATGCCACTCTTCTTTTTTGCAAGCAGAAATAAAATTAGAAATAATTTTCTTTTTCTTTTTACAGGAAAATGATACTATCCCCGTCTCTTTTTAATCGCAACGTGTTGACTTTTTGCACTGTTCAAATGATTTACCTTGACTACATTTTACACTATTATTTTATGGAAATTATTTTTTAAAAAATATATTTTTCAATTTATCTCATTACAAATTTTCAAAATCTGATTTTTAATATTTTTTTATTAATAGAGATTAAGATATACTTACAGTCAAATGTGTGCGTTGACAAATGTGCAAAGGTTGACTGTTGCAACTAAAAAAGAACGGAGGAAGTATATTATACGGAGTACTACGTATTAAATTCAAACTTGCTGTACGTAACTTGCAAACCATAAAGTAACCCCCCTCGAACCCAAAATGACCAAAAGCTCAATGGCTCCCTCACTTCAAGATCAGAGATAGAATAGTCCACCTAAAAAAGAGCGAGACTAATCGTTGAAAATGTGGGAGCTTAGACACTATTAGCGGCTCAATCAGCTTGATTGTCTCCATATAGAAAACTATCCACTAAATCAAACAAAAACAACAACCTACCCCCTTATTGCTTGTCCTGAAAATACCAAAATAGAAATCATAAAACAGGCTTGACTGAAAATAATAAAAAATAGCTAGTAAAACATTCTTGCAAACCCTATCCACACGGTTTCTCCTTGGCGGCGGTTCAGGAGGGGGACGAATCATCAACTCTTCTTCTTTTTTTTCCTTTTCCGAATTTGAATTTCTCTGTGCCAGGTCAGCCATCTATCCGTCGCAAGTTGATCACTACCCTTCATACTCACCAAAAAGCCTCATACGGCACCCAATTATTTGGCTAAAGTAGTCGCGCCAACCGCCCACCCAGCCGTTTAGAATCAAACTCAACCCCTTTTCACCAAGCCTGAATCCACCATTGTTCCACCCGGATAAAAAATAACTGGTGTAGCTTCCATCCCAATGACCAACAAAGCCAGGATAACCAAACCAAGCATCGGAATGTCACGGCTCACAGTCTTATTGGACGCAGATTTGCGGCCTCCTCCAATATCGCTGATCGCGATTGACATCCCACAAAATCTCAGCCGCACTTTTGTTACGTGAGTGGCTCGTAGAAACTCGTTCGCTTCCGTCATGCCCAAACTCAAACCAACAACTCGTCAATCCCTTGTGCCACCGCCTCAAGCAGACACTGGCACAAAAACAGATCGTCGCAGCAAGCCCAACCTAGATCCAGCGACGATAAGATCCCTGCTGTGAATAGTTCCTTGCTGTGGACGGAACACTATGTTGCGGACAAAGCCTTTCAGACGGAGAAGGTCGTCGCACCCAAAACCCTAGGACACCTAGCTTTTAGAACACCTAAAATTAGATTGTAAATTCAAGTATCATCCAAAACATAGAGTGTAAAGTCAAATTCTCATTTACTCTTTTTTTGTATCTTTTCTTCCATACTTTTTCTTCATTTCGCCTACTATTCTACACTAAAAAATCAGAGATTGATTGAGTCAAGTTTGAGAGCTGCTCTCTCCTGGGAACAACCTGCGACCCAGTACTTTTAATTTCTTCGTTGATATTTGTTGGATGGTTGAATGCGCCAGTTCTCTTCGTTGATATTTGTCGTAATGTCGTTCTGGCCTTATTAGGCTCTTTTATTTGAGCTTTAATGAGTTTTTCAGGCTCGAATCTCCGAAATCAAAGTTCGGAAATCGCGAATTTACTGTTCATGATTTTTGGTTTTTTAGTTTTGAGTTCTTGAATCTGCTGGGTTTCATTGAAATTGAGATGAATTTGGAGTTCACCATCACTGACCAACTTTAACTTGTTCATTTGCGACCTGTAGTGCTCTACCAGTGGTGCGAACTCTAGGAATTTGAAAACAAAGCTTGAAGCATCAGTAAACGAAGATTCAAAGCTCTGTCCTTCGATTTGGGTTTTGCAACGACTTTCATCTGCGAAGGATTCCTCTTGGCTTTTTACGAAGTCTGCTATGGCAAGGAATAAACATAACTCAGGGAAAGAGTGTACGGCAAGAACAACTCGATCCTCATCCAGATTTTCTGTGCTGCAGACCATGAATGAAGAGTTCCCTGTGTTGAACACTGGAATTTAGAGAAGATAAGTAATGTCGTAACTGTGACAGGGGATAACACTGTTACTAAGTGTGTTGCGGCTACAAAACTGCAAAGGGACAAGGTTATTGCTGAGGGTACTGTTAGCTCGGTTGAAACTGGGCATAGTGAGATAGGCGGTGTGAAGCTTGATAAGAGCTTGGTGATTCTGGATGTAGCTGGACAGATTGATAAAACTGCTGACAAGGCTCCAGGGAAGGCAGTATCCTCTGGGATGATCCAAGGCAGTACGACTGAAGCTGAGGTGGTCAAGCAGATTGAGGTCCACCAGTCATGGACTTCCCTCTTCAAAGACAATCGGGACCCGTCTCATGGACTCAAACTGAGGTATGTCCCGCCCAAGGGCAAATCCCTAAACTTTGCGGATAGATTGATGCCCTCAATGGATGAAATGTGGGGTTTTTGTTTAGTTGGTTGTTTCACTGGGAAGTTCCCCGGGATTAAGGCTATTTATGACTTAAAAATACTTGGGGGGTTAGGTGCATTGTGATGACCTGTGTGAAAGGGTGGATTATCTTTAAATTTTCAAGTAAGGACGATAGAGAGAAAGTGTTGAAAGAGGGTCCCTATACCATATTTGGGATACAAGTTATGCTAAAATCACTTTCTGATGATTTTTCTTTTGATGATGATGAGTTTCTCAAAGTTCCGATTTGGGTGAAATTTCCTAATTTACACATGAAGCTTTGGAATGAGGAGGCTATGAGCGAAGTTGCATCTATGGTTGGGGTCCCGTTAACCACAGATAAGATCACACAAGAAAGGAGTAATCACTACTTTGCTAGAGTTTTAATTGAAGTTGATGTTTCTCAACCACCTCCAATATCATTTCCTATAAGATTACCTTCTCGTAAAGTAGTCAAACAAAAGGTTATTTATGAAACTTTCCCAAACTTTTGTTTTCATTGCAAAGTGTATGGGCACCACCCATTTCTTTGCAAGAAATTGGCAACAAAAGAATGAGAGGAGGTTGTTGGTGCTGAAACTGCCCAACATGTAGAGATAAGAGTTGAGATAAATATTGAAATGTTTGGATAAAAATGCAAAAAATATTTTATGTAACGTACTGAATGATAAAAATGCAAATAAAAATGCAAATAATTCAGTACGTAAAATCAAAAGTTGTATATTTGATAAAAACTATGGCTCACAAGAATGATAAGTTAAACACATGCGAAATGAGCTCTCAATTACATACAATCGACTTTCGTGATTATAAACACATAAGTTTCAATTATTAATATATTGGATCGATTATTAAAAATATCAATATTTGGTTGTACAACTAATGGTGTGATACACCGGTTGTACGAGGAGTGTCGCACAATCAAGAAATTTTATGATTTTCTTCAACTTTCAGACTGCAGATCAGTCATTCGGTGAATATTGTACGGTGATTAAAAATAGCAATTGACTCTACTGATACACCGATTGTACGGTGAGTAACATGCAACTGGGTAATTTTATAACTCCTTTCAACTTTATATCTGCTTAAAGGATCAAAATTAACTCTATGTTGCCCACTAGGTGATCAGCGATTTGCGCTGCTTCTTTGGAGGTGGCCGTCTCAGAGTCTAATCGTAGGTAATTCTTGAGTCTAGTTGGAGTCATTTGAAAGAGTGTTGGTGGAGTTTGAGTTTTTAGCTGATTGTAACTGCAACGTTTGTTTACATTAATATAGTTTGGCATTTCGCTTTCAAAAAACTTTCGAACTGCTAAATGCTTTCTTTATTAATCTAGTAACATCGTAGTATTGTTAACTAACTGATTCTTTAAAAAAAATCTAATTGACAGTCTCCTTCATCCTCCACCCACCTCTTATTCTTCTTCATTATTTCTTTCTTCGTCTATATCTACAATTCTTAAATTGCATAGATTATCTAAAAAGTGAATATTGTTATTTCCCAAAATATTAAATGGGACACAACTTGATTCAAAACGTCTATCTAACTCTCTCACTAGTAACACTTCAATTTTTCTAAATGAAAGCACTCACTCTTCCGAAGTATTCCCATTTGAACGCTAATTTTTTTATGGAATATGTTATTGTTTGTTGCAGTGGTATAAAATGTAGATATATGTATGCTTTTTCATAATAGTTCATGTTATAATTATATTTTTCTAACTTTATTCTACTGTTACCATCCTAACAAGTTTTAGATGTTTTTTCGTTATGCATTGAATATTATATTTATAGTGCTAGTAAAATTTTTGAGTTATACTTTTACAATGATTTCATTTTTTGTATGAAAATAGTAAACATAACTAGTTTTATTAATGTTCAGGTTTATTCCTTCAACTCGTAGGCCCAACACGCAACCTAAGGGTTTCGAGTGGAGAGTGTATGCGAATATGAAATAATAGCAAGTAAGATGGGCTTAGAAGGATCTACAATAGTGGGCCTTATCCCATTAAGTGTTAATAAGAAGCTAAGTACACACTAATATAATGCTATCTGGCCAACGGCTATTCGTCTGCCTCACAAGTAGAAGAGCCGCGAACACTGCTAAGAGCTATAAGAATGCTAGAATGCTAAGGCGGGTAAGTTGTCAACCCTTTACAATGAAATAAATGTCACTATTTATACTACCTAAGAGCAGGTAGATATGATGATGTGGAGAGATGTGGATGGTTGGGGTCTCAACCACCAAATCTGAAGCATTAAATGTGCTTCCCGCAAGAATCTCGACTTCCCGCCTAGTATTTGGAGACGAGCGTCCCCATGAGTCTTGGGCCTTGGTGTAGATGGCTCTACCAAGGGCGGGATGTCGAACGTCCTCTGGGTGTTGGTGAAATAGCATGACGGTTAACCTTGGGGCTAGGACTTCTCAGGCTGAGCATCCATGGTGGCGACGTACTTCGGCGATGCCTTGGACCATGAT